GAATGGCTCCCCTCCAGTATGGTCAGGGATGCCGAGACTGACATCATCGCAATGACCATTTGGTCGGTCTAAAAACTGTATTTTTAATGAGTAGGTTCTCGAGGAAAATTTAATGGCATAATGAGGTCTAGCCGATTCATTTATCCGTCCTAACTTCAGCCCTAGCAACCGATATGTACAAGAATTCTTATTCAATATCTACTGACCGTTTTAGTACAAATAATGCTTTCTAGCCTAAGTTTGCCTCATTTCAAAATCTACTCAAACGTGAATTAAGTAGTTTAATCAATTGTAATGGCAAATACATCGACAATTCCTATGCAAAATGTGATACGGAAGAGACCGTCGTATGCTCCATTGGTAACTGCCGGCAATGGATGATGATAACTGGTCAAACGCTGTGGAAGCTTGAGATCAACTCACATGATTCTACCAAAATTTAACTATTCTTCCTTCGTCAACTTAGGCAATTCAGAGTGAATGTGGTTCTTGCCCTAAACCTATCGATAGTTTCGAAGTCTACCTCAACGGAAATATACAAAATTGAAGAGGTCCTGATTGCCTTGAAGGTCACGTTGGCTCCGTAACCCCTCGGCATTCACGACGATGTTAACTATTGGCAACAGATCGAGGGTTAACAGGTCCGAGTCTGGTCAGTCGTGCGGACTAGGCAAATGTAATCGAACCGGTAGTGGTTTCACGCAATCTTGCCTCCAAAAATAAAAGAATGGGCAAAGTTGTGTGCATCATAGGACCTCTTTTTATTGCACTAGAGCGAATTGGGCTCATTTATGCTCTTTTTTTCATTCACAGTTAAAACTGAGAATGAGCAGAAATGTTTAAATTGTCTGCCTTTTTTGGCGATTTAAAATTCTTTATATTCATGTACAAAAAATTACAGTATTACTTTTCTTCTAAACCACTGTCAAACGACAAAACAAAATATTATTAGGAATAAGTGTTTCATTCCATTTCGATATGAGTAGCCTTCGAGGCTATCAGCAATTCTTGAATAAGAACTTAGTCAACTAAACCCATTTAAAGTGAAATGCTTTTTCCACAGTCAGACAAAGTACTGATAGATACGTAAACTACTCAAATCGAAATTAAGTAGCCACGTGTTTGCAGTTGCAAATGTATGTAAAGAATGCTAATATTAACTGGGTTTCAATAAATCTACTGAAGTAACATTGTTGGGGAGACTTTGATTTTGCACGACAGTGAATGAAGAAGCGATTCGAAGTTCGATCGCACCAGAAGAGGATGGTTGAATCGCGGTGTACCGCAGCCGTTTGGCCCTACTACGACATTCAGATTGACGCAGTCTACGAGACATTCTCCCTCGTTTCGGGTGAAAACGGGAGGAGTTTTCGTCCATCAAATGACAGACATCATCAGAGCTGGATCTCATTCGTGTCGATGAAGCAAGCGTATTTTTGCTTAATTTATTTTTCGTATTTTAAGTGGAGTTTCGAGACTACCAATAAATCGGTAATATAAAATGTATTCACTCTATAGCGTATTCTTGCTATAACAATGTGAAATTCAATGAAAACTTCAGCTCTACTCATATCATTGTGGGAAAATTCTACATCACCTTAAACGAAATAGGGTGAATACCTCTCATATTACTGATTTACTGGTAGCCTCGAAACTCTACTCAAAAACGAAAAATAAATTCTTCTTACTCAACTTTCTTCCACCCTACCTCATGCCCAACGTATTTCAAAATATAGTAATTTCAATAGGCTCTCTTATCTTTCTTTTAATCGCTCGTTTGAGACGATTCTATCTCATGTCCAGTATCTGGCCACTTCTGGCCGCCAGATTCAATTCCATTTACAAGCATTCTGTGTTCCTCCGACCTTTGCCGAATGGGTCTGTATGTCTCACCAACATGACGTCGACCCCAGGAGCACACAATCTTGTAGCATTCGGGTCATATTTCTCTCTAAAAGCTGGCATAGCAGAAGAAAGTGTCACAGTTTCTCTGAACAATGTATTTTATCCTCCACTTTCTCACTGAATCGCCTATCTTTTTTGTAAGACGCCATGACAACATAGACCGAGAGGTTAGGTTTCACATCCCGACTTACACACTTACAAGCTTACATCTCATCATCTCAATCATACTTGCTCACGGACTTACGCAATCTCGGTCAAGGCTTGTTCTTGGGTCATTAAGCCATGACGACCAGAGCCTGGCATTAACCTTTTTTTGAGCACTTTGACGTCAACACACACACACACACGAGCAAAATAACAGAAGCAGTATGAAAGACACTTAGCCAAACCATTCTATTCCTATCTCTGCTTGCTCGTTTTCCCTTTAAATATGGGTTTATAAAAAAGGTAAAATAAATGCGAAGAAAAGTTAGCTTTCGAGGAATATCTTCTTTTATAATTGTTGAGCTTACTTCCATTTCGAGTGAATAAGCTGTTTGCTGTACAGTTGTGGTATCTCGCCTGTCCTGGTACATTCATTCATCTTTTCTATCTCCTCGTATCACTGCCTCGACTACTTGACTCGTCTTCTGGTGATACCGACTTTCGATCCTCTTCAACAAACACTTTCACTCGAAATGGAAGTAAGCTCAATAAGAATGCAAAGTTGTCTTTCGTCACATTTTTTAAGAGTATCCAAAAATTTTGCTTTGCATTTGATTTTCGGTATTTTATACATAATCAGCAATTTAATTAATAGTTTGGATTAAGTGAGCTACCACCTAATCCTTACACAAATATGCATACATCACGGAATATATATTGACATTTAAATTAACTTTTTTGATTTTTATACCTATCCAATTAGTCCTTTGTTTTATTGTATGATTGATCTATGAATATTTTCATCACACAAGCTTTCACACAGAAAGCAGTCACACAAATTGAAGTCATCGCTTGTAAATTTCCAAATGGTCCTTAGTTTGAGGCTGATACTGTGGGATTTGAAAGAGTTGTTCGGAGAAACTTCAATCTCAACGACGGTTTAGTGTGAAACTTGAGATGCCGAAGCCTCTCATCTTAACTCCTGACTTTTCGTGGAAAGTAAAAAAAAAAGGTGCCAACACAAAAATGGGGACTTTTGATATCCGTTTTATCAACTCAACCAGGCTTACATTTGAAGGTCATTAAAACTCAATGACTTTGGACTGACGGTATGTTTTATCGTAATTATCGAGATTTGTGCAAGTCTTTCTGTACCATGAATTACATGCTCTGTCGATGTTTGTGATATAATGTAAATAACGAAGGCTAGGCTCGTTTTCCTCCGAAATGTGGTCGTATGTTTCAAAGAATACGTCAAGTTGAGCGTCATAGAACAAAACCAAACGATCACAGAAGAACTGGAAAAAGAAGAAGTCTTATGGTGAGATAAAACTATGAATCTATTCACAAATTTACACTCGACTATGAACTTTACACATCCAAGGTCGGTTAATGTGACGAAGGACGGATAGTGAATTTCCAAATAGTCTGATGAATGGGCCTCATGTTTCCAGGAAAGTTCACATGACCTTGATTCTTAAACAGTTTACGATCACGACTCAAGAAAATTAGAACACTTAGTCAAGATCTATTTATATTCTTAAATCGAAATGACATTGCAAAGACTGAACATTTGGTTGTGGGAAAATGTACTATTATTATTTTACATCATTTTAAGCGGCCTAGGCTGTCTAAAGCTATTATTTACGTTCATCAAATAGTCTTGAAATACTACTTAATTGCAATTACTCGTTCAAGATCGAATACATACTAGCCATGAAGATAAGTTTCGAGTAGATTTCGAGAATGTCATTAGACCTTGATTACGAAAATTATTAATTCTATTTGACCGTAATGAGGTCTACTCATGTAACTTGGAAAAAATTAAATAATCTGTTCTTCTTTAGCATAACAATGATGTTGATGCTATTAATGAAACTACGGTCAGATGGGAATGTCAACACTATTCATATTAACAAAGTTATGAAAAATAGATTTTGAATAGGACCCATGGTTGTTTTTGCCCACAGAGCGTGAAAAATGACTTTCAGTCGAATTTTCCCACAATCAGATGAACACATCCCCTGATTTAAATGGGTGATTAAAGTTTATATTCGAGATCTAATGATAGTCTCGAAATAGTTTTCATTAAATATCCACTTGAATCATCATCCCCGAAGATTCAACGAAACTTCATGCTTCAACCACGTTCCCGCCTACACAATTTCGAAATTGAGTGAGGCTTTAATGAATTAAAACTATCGTCATCCTAAATCGCATTAGGCGAGGAAGGTACGGTAGTTGAATTTGCCTAAAATCATATAAATGGGCGTTGCGATGTCATGGAAATTTACTGGTTCCCAAATGGTGTGCTCATCGAAACGTGTCTAGATTGCCGGGCTCTCATCAGCGCCGTCAACGGGAGTGGAACCCATATTTTAGACTCATTAACTACGCCACTCAAAGAGCTGATGTAACTTTCAAGGCAAGCCAAGCACATCTAATATCGCATTTTTTGGTGGGATTTTAGATTAAGTTACCTTTTATTTTACATTACGATGTCATACTACTTATATTTGCATTAAGTAGTTTCAAAATATATTCAATCCCAACATTTATATATTTCTCGTTTCATTTGGAGCAAATTAAAATATCCAGGGCTTATTGATGGTCCGAACTGCCAATAACTATGCGTTGACGCATTAAGTTGCAGAAAGATTGCAAAACTGCCTAATCTTTGGGACTAAAGGGTCTTGACGAATTCGCCAACTGGGCCAAAGGTCATGGTTGGCACTGATTGTGCTCTTTGTTGTGGCCGGCCCAGTGGCTCTTTAGTCGGCGAGTGAGTGGAAGAGGATAGCCGAGTCTACTCGAGTTCAGCTGCCATCTGGAATGGGAAAGTGGGCCGGTCGAGAGTGGCCACTCAACAGTTCAAAAGGACATTGTACAATCCGAACAAGCGTTTGGACAAGCCGGCAATTAAGGCAACAATGAAAATAGGCCCGGCATGCCTAATTTTTGATGGGGAATGACTTCAGTGATCGTTCTACTCCTCGCAGCTGGAGTGTAGCAAAAATGGCGAAATGAGGAGGTACGAGAAATTGCAGTTGCTTTCTACCATTTTGGGAAAGTTGCATGTCGTTCGAGCGATTCAGGCAGTGCAAAATGTGGCCGTTTAGACGCAGTCTGTTATTTGTGTTGTTGCTGGCGGTGATGGCAACGGCGACGGCGGCTGAGCTCGGTTCATCGTCTCGTCGATACCGAATCATTCCTGCTGACCCTTCGTCCGGATGAGTTGGTTCAACAAAGTATCATTTGTGCAAATTGAGCCAAACAGAAAAACCTCGAAAAAATGTTGGTTGACAGTTTGTATGATTGTTAGGCCAGATTTTGCGATTTGATTGGCTACTTCATACTCGTCCCTACCTACTTAAAAAAAACGGGAAGGAGAGGTTTGAAATATGAGTTTAAGGCGATGAAGAACTAGTACTCGACTTTTCCCACAATGATGTGAACAGAGCTGGCGTTTACCTTGAATTTCACATAGCATTGCTTGCCCAGGTGAAGTGGACTGCCGTCTCGACCTCGCCTGGATCTCATCAACACCCACAGCGGGACTCGAACCATGAGAATGCAGCGGGCAATCTCGACAAGTTACGTGCTCCCCGAGTGCGCTTGGCCCGCAGAGCAGATGTCACTTTGAAGGAATGTTCGGCAGTTTCCTTTTCGCATTCTGTGCTGCGATTGCCGATGAAGAAAACTTATATTTTCTATTACAATCGAAGACACTACTTGTATGGGGAGTGAGTAGGTCCTCGAGACTATCAGTCACTGTATGAAAAACGATGCGCATGTGGTCACGGCGGTTGGTTGAGTTTATCCACAGCCACGTGACTACGCCTTGAGCTACCATTTGACCTCCTTTCGGATGACATTCTCTTGAGGCTGTGGATGAACGATGGTGTGGCGGGATCAAAGCATTGGTTCAGTCGAGTCCAGTTGGGATGCATGTATGTATGTATGTATGTATGTATGTATTTATGTATGTATGTATGTTTGTATGAATGTATGTATGTATGTTTGTATGTATGAATGTATGTATGTATGTATGTT